ATTTTGGATGTCTATTAGTCTTGAAATAATAATGAAACATGATATTCAGATATCAATCAAATATGAATGAAAATGTTCTATTCACATGTTATTAAAACGATGCGTCAAAATGTCAAAATATGTGGGAAAAATCTGCGTCGAAGTTCACCGTCAGTCCGCAACGTCACATCATTATGACGTTATTTATGTTTTAGTTAACATACCATAAGGCACGTTTGTCAAGGACCCAATCATGTGTTGTCCAATAGAGTAATTCCTAGAGTAAAAATAAATGTTTGTTTTTTGTTTTTCATTTAAGGAAAATATAACCTGCAAGCTAACATGGCGTCATCAGGTGTCTCCGCTCAGGTTCAGGTGAACATCTGCGCCGATTGTAAAGAACCGTCCGTGTGTACATGCTCGATATGTGACACTAAAATGTGTAGAAAACATATGAATATCCATATGGATACGGTTCATAAGTTATCAGAGAACGACAATAAAAAATGTTCTCTTCATGTGAGAAACCCATTAAAATGTTTCTGTAGAAGTTGTCGTCTGCCCCTATGTGATAAATGTGTTATAGACGGAGGACATGTTGCCCATGAAAGAAGTGAATTAGAAACTTTCTTGGAATTTCTTAAGGAAGCAATATCAAATGAAAACATAGAATTGACAAATTGCATTAAACCATTTTACCAAAAGGTTTTGGACAACACAGAAAAACAATTAAGAGAATTAACGTCTGTCTATGACAAGGTGAAAAAGGATATTGAAATTTTCAGAAAATATTTGCATGGGGAAATTGATATTGCAGTAAACAATTTGCGTTCTGTCCTGGAAGAGAAAGAAATGAAAGATAAAGAAGACTTACAAAATCAAAAGGAAGCTTATTCAGAAAAAATGAAGAAATTAGCTGACACTATTTCGCAAAATGAAAAGTTAATTGGCTCTAAAAACCCAGAAGAAGTGGTGGATTTTAGATCAAGCATTGAGAGCTTTCATTCGAATCCTTGCCAAGTGAAACTGCATTTACCCTCCTTCCCATCAAATATGAATGATCCAGAAATTCAAGAAAAAGTATTGGCACTATTTGGAGAAATTAACTATACTGATGAAAGTGCTACTCCTGATTTAGAATTGGACAACGCTCAAAGGATTGAAATGCAACTACTGGACCAGCCAGGTGTTCTAAAAGTCCTTAAAACTAGATTTTTCCCCGATTCCTTCGATCATAAATTATACAGTTTGTCTTGTATAAACTCAGAAACAGTTCTAGTCGGTGGTAATGACTATGTGCTTTTGGAAAAAAACATTGTACTACAAAGATTCAAGACATGTTCAACCTATAGAAATCACTTATAGAGGGTACCACTTTACTTTATCTTCCGATGGTGCAATATTTTACTCAGATAAGGAAGGCAACTCTGTGAAGAGGATAGAGAACCGTTTATCTAATACCATTTCCACGTTCCTAGAATTTGATTCATGGACACCAAGAGGGTTAACCATGACCCCTTACAACCACCTACTCGTTTGCCTGTATAGAAGCAAGCAGTCCAAAGTAGTGCAGTATGCTCAAACTGGAAATATAGTACAGGAAATCCAGTATAGCAATGGACAACTTTTATATGAACATCCCATGTTTATCTGTTGCAACAAAAACGGTGACATTTGCACAGCAGACTATGAAAAACGAGAAGTTATTGTTGTGAATCAATTTGGTGCCTTTCTGTTTTCTTATAATGGCAGCACGCCAACAACATCCGTTAATACATTTACTCCGTGCAATATGGCAACAGATCACCTGTGCAACATTGCAATCACAGATTTCGAAAATCACAAGATCCATCTTTTGGACAGATACGGACAATTTCTTCGATATATAAACCCAGATGCGGGGGTCAGCCATCCTAAAGCCATTGCAATTGACAGGGACAATAAAATGTGGATTGGAGAAGGGAAAAGCGGAAACATCAAAGTCTTGCAGTATTTGAAATAACGTATACTGAGTATTCTAAACTGGGTGTCTGTATGTAACATTTTTTAATCATTCATTAACAAACTGGGATTATATTTTCAATATGTATGATTTAAATATTTAGAAAATAAATGAGGAAAAGTGAAATAGATTACAGTCTAAAGAGAAGGAGGAAACTAGGACCTTTTGTTTCATAATTGGAATAAGTGGAATAAATGCTGTCTCAGTTTGCCGTCATATTTCATAATTTAACGATGTTATTGTACAGTTTTTATGTGATTACTAGTATATAAGTTAGATTTTGAATATAACTTTCTAATACATGTATAAACATTTTCTTGATCTGTGTTCGTATAGGAAATTTGTCACATTTATGCCACATTTTGCGAAACAGAGTTACAGTCATCGAGTTTTAACTTTCGTCAAGTCCGCTTAGGGTCAAATAACTCCCTTCAGTTTTGAAGCAGGACAGCCGGATACACTTTCATTGTCAAAATTGTGCTTTAAGGAATGGAATTTATTCTTAATAGGGGAGAGGGGGTGGGGAGAACTATTCTTTTGATGTGGCACCGAGAAAAAATATCTATGCATAAATGAGAAAAATTGTTTAGTCGTATTTATTATCAATATTGTCATGATTGGTCATTTGTAAAATTATTTTGTACATTTTGATTGTACACACAACTGACACAAGTTAATATTGAATAAAATATTTTAAATGCTGTACCTTTTTGGAGATCAAGTCTTCCCTCGATCTTTCTTAATACCCAAGGATACCGACTAATACTAGTATTAGAAGACATATCTTTGTATTCATATACAGCAGGATTCATTCAAAACCACATTGGAAAATTTCTGTTTTATTGGATATTTTCCGATAAAAGGCGTTAATGATAAGCTTAAAAAACACTTAAGGATGACACGTGGTGATTTTCACAATTCCATAGTTTTCCCTTTGTTTGGCAATATTATTACCAGTCTGTGGAGTTTACGTCTCCAATTTGATTCAAGACGAACTATAGCATGATGGGTGTATGAACAACTGAACCAAAGCAATTTACTGACTTATAAGTTAATGTAATAGGATATCAACAGTCTCCTTTAAAATCAACATTTCGCAAATTCTATTGTTTATAGAATGACCTTGTCAGAAAATACAATCTATCATTAACGAGGCCAAGACTAATTATTTCTGCCCTTAGGATTTTGATAATATTTTGACAAATTTTTATCCTTCTATTATTTTGTTTTAGGATTTAAAAAAATGAATGTTTACCATCCTGATTTCTTAGGGGGTCATTTCAAAAATTGTCAAATTTTACAATTGGACCCTAAGGAAATTTGTTGGAAAAGCACCAAATTTTCATGTTTTTCTTATACCCGGTATATTTTTTTTGTACATCTTTCCTAGATATTTTTGTTTTCATTTAGGTAGATAAAATTTATTGTAAAAAGTCACCAAACTGTGAAATTTAAAAAAAAATCACCATCTGGGTTGGTTTAGGAATCAATTACCAACTTTATTTTTTCAAAGCCCAATACCTCTAAAATTGCCATTTTACGGTATAAATATATACATCAGTGGTATTCTGTGCAGATGAATTATCGACGAATATGATTATTTTTCGGTAGAAAATAGCGATGTTTAGATTGCTGGTATGTTTCTTAGTGTGTTTAGTATAATATCCATGGACGTCTTGAGCATACACGCGATTATGTTTCACTCTGCAGCGTCATGCATTGCTTAAAAAATCCGAAAATGGTGACGCCGTTAGAGCCATATTAGGGTTTTTCCTAATTATTATCGTTAAATAACATTTTCAGACCAGTGTGGGGGTTACATATAATGTTAATTTTGTCTTAAAATCAAACTATTTGGCAAAGGTGCACTGCCGCACAAATGATTGCATGAAATTAAAATGCAGCGTAAAGTCATGCGCACTCACATTAGACTCGGCCTCCTTAAGTTGATAGTTACTTGGGAATGGTCCTGCTCCAAAAACTTTAACCTGGTCACTCATCTGGAAGATGTAGGTCGGATTTAGCATCCGAAGCAAATATGGCATCATATGGTCATCACTCATCCATGCAAGTTTGATCCTGATGGGGCTGATAGTTACTTGGGAATAGTCCTAGCTGCTCTTTAAACTTTAACTTGGTCTCTCATGTGGAAAATGAAGGTCAGATCCAGCATCCGTAGCAAGTCTGGCAGTGGTCATCCCTAGATGCATTGTTACAACCACTTTGAAAAGTGCTTTAAATTTGGGACCAAGGTAACGCACTTTGAAAATTATTTTTTTCAAATTGCGTGAATATCAACCATATTTATGCACTTTTAGAAATGTAAAGCTTTGATTGATCAATATTCTTACAAATTATCGGTATGATAAATAATTGACCCTGGTTGGATAACTTTTTTAAGATAAGGTCACTTCAGGACCTGAGATGTTGACGTTATAAATATTTTAGGTTTTGATATATATATTAAAAGGGAAATGGGTCTTTCAGGAAAAAAATCATTATTTCGTATCTTTTTAAAACTCTAGTAGGCTAAAAGTGAACGACTTAAACCATAGCATTTATCTTAAGAAAAATTAAGCAAAACTATGAAAAAAAATTCTCTTATATGTTTTACTGTTCTAAAAATTTCTAGTATTCATCTGTGTTAAGTTAACTCATTTATTGAAAGTTTTCAACGTCATATCAGTTATGTAAATACATATCCATATTTTGGGTTTAGCATAGGCATCGAAATCGGGCGAAGGAAAAGGGGAGGGTTGTATTACATGGAAATTTTCGACCCCGTTTAATTTTCGCCCCTTTTGCCCTCGTCGGAAGTGGGCGAACTTAAAACGGTACGAATTCAAAGTAAACAATATAATATCTTAAACAAAAATCTTTCTTGGTGAATTTAAAACAGGGCAAACTTGTTTCCACAAATTTAAAAGGGCGAAAATAGCCTGTATACAGTAACCTATTCCAGAATTTATCAATATTGAAGGATTAGATGCTGATAAATTACATTGATCTACTTTTATAGATGTAGGTACATTTCAAATCAATGATTATCAGTGAAGAGTTCATATTAGATTACATTTTCACGGACTTTGTTATTCATTCAGATTGCCCGGTCATCTGATGAGGGTATGTACAAATTAGTTCAGTTATTTGAAGTCAACTTTGCCAAACTTAAAATGTTTGAAAATTGAAATATAATATGTTTTCTTCAAATTTTGTAACAGGATATTTATTAGGTAATGAACAGGAATATAGGACTACGGGCTCAGGCCGCCATGAACACTTGCGCCGATTGTAGTGAACCTTTTGTGTGTACATGTTCTTTATGTGACACCAAAATGTGCAGACAACACATGATTACCCACATGGACACAGTTCACTTCTTAGCTGATAATGATGCAGACAAAACAAAATGTTCTGTTCATTCCAAAAATTTCCTGAAAACTTTCTGTAGAACTTGTCGTCTGCCACTTTGTGATGTCTGTGTGACAGATGGCGGCCATGTTTCCCACGAAAAAAGTGACCTCGACGCTATCTTGGAATTTTTCACTGAAGCGATTTCCAATGAAAATCAAGAGTTAATAAGTTACATAAGGCCCTTTTATCAGAAGATACTCGACATCACAAAGGAAAGGAAAAAAGAAGTTCCGTCTAGCTATAAAAATGTGAAACATGAAATCAAACAGTTCGCTGAATCCTTACACAAAGAAATTGATAGTGTAGTTCAGATATTGTATGGTGAAATGGATGAAAAAGAAAAGACTGAAACTAAACAATTGGAGGAACAGGATGATGTTTATTCAGAGAGAATAAGCAAAGTGGATGAAACTGTTTTACAAAACAGGCAGTTAAAGAGTTCCAACAATCCAATGGAATTAACGAAATTTAGCTCCAGTCTGGCTTATTTCCATGTAAATCCAAGTCAAGTTAAAGAAGAGTTGCCTAAATTCTCTCCTATAACAAACAGAGAAGAAATTAAAGAAAAGTTATTGGGACTTTTTGGAAAGGTTTTGTTCGATGTATCTGACAAACATGTGTCTGATTTAAAACTGGAAAACGTCAATGCAGCAAAAGTGCAGCTTTTGGAGCAGCCAGGGGTTTTAGATATTCTCGAAAACGAATTTCCTCCTGATGCAAATAAAAATAAGTTGTATAATTTGTGTTGCATAAATTCCAAAAAAATTTTGGTCGGCGGAAATGATTGTTTTCTTCACGTAAGAGAGCTATATGACGAAGACAAAGAGATCCAAAAAATTCAGTTAACATGCCAAGGGGTATATTTTGTTCTCTCGTCAAAAGGCGTGCTCTTTTATACAAGTAAAATGGACAAAACCGTGAAAAGAATAAAATCCCTTCATTCCTCAGGAAAAACTACTTTTCTGCAGTTCGAAAAATGGGAACCAAGAGGACTTGCAATGACTTCCTCAGATCATCTACTTGTCTGTCTGTATAAAAGAAAGCAGTCCAAAATAGCAAGGTACAATCAAACTGGAAAGCTTGTGCAAGAAATCCAATATCACAACGACAAACTGTTGTTCGAAAACCCTATGTTCATATGTTGTAACAAAAACGGGGACATTTGCACAGCAGATAATGCCAAATATGCCATCATTGTCGTAGATCAATTTGGGGTATTTCAATTTTCTTACGATGGTCGCAATGCACTGGAGAGAGGTAAAACTTTTCGTCCATGTAATATGGCAACAGATCACTTGTGCAACATTATTGCAACGGACTTCGAAAACCACAAAATCCATCTTCTTGATAAATATGGACAATTTCTTCGCTTTCTGGATCCTGATGCGGGGATCAGTCGCCCTAGAGCTATTACTATAGATAAGGATGGGAAAATATGGTTTGGGGAATGCTTCAGCGGAAAAGTCAAAGTCATGCAATATCTGAAATGACCAAGTTTATGTAAGAGTGAGATTTGTTCAAAGACTTAAGTACTTTAATTTGTTTCTTTTGATATAACCAGAGGAAAACAAACTTAACAATGGTTTTTATTTTTTTATATACTACGTCATCAAAAAGTGGCCTAAAATGAATAGTATTTACATGCGTTTAACTTTCAACATTTTCGTACTAGTATTATACTTAAAAATTAATTTACTCATTTAGAAGAGGAAGTGCATGACAAAATTGATAAGTTTATCAAAACATCGACATTAATTTTACGAGATGGACATTGGATAATTTTCATTGTATTGTTTCTATAACTTCCTTGTATATATATTGAGATAATGATATTTATTCAGTAGATATATCACTCATTAGATAATGCATTTCTACCTCACTAAATGTTGATAAATATATTTGATCTGTAATATTGTAAATATGGAAGATTGAGAAAAAATATTAAATTATTCAAAAACTGTAAAACCTCTTCTTGTATGGGTTTGTGAGGAAAATCCAAATTCGCGGTATATTTATTATTTGTAACTGAGAAGCATGAGTCTGCAATTTCTAACTCTTTAAACTTGTCTCTATTAATTCCGACTCTCCCTTTGTGCTTTTTTTTTTGGAGACCTTGTAGCTGATGCCTAGCAGTATCAATGATCTCCCTTACAAGAAAAAAATCCCTTTATATTTTTAAAATTTTAGAGAAGGTTGAGGATCTATTTCTCCCCTTTTTGTTATCATATGATACTCCTATTGTGCTGTCCATTTTCAAATGAACGATTTTTTTATTTGTTTTTGACGAAAGGTAAAAGAGAAAGGGGGAGTTTCGATAAGGCCGTTTATCGGACCGCTTATTCATAAAAATAAATTTCAACTTATCTTTTCAAAATTAGTTTAGAATTCAAGATGAATGTCTTAATTTTTGTTGTTAGTAGTTCAAAAGTTAATATGAGATAAATTCACACCGTAGCTGACACAAACTTAGATGTACTCGCAAATGCTTTAACATTAAGCCTATAGGAAAATATAAGAGGGTGGCATTTATAAATCGATGTTTAGAATATGAAGTGCATGAGGGACACTCACCTAGTTTTGCCCATGTATTAGATATACCCTGCACACTAATACTAGTATTTTACAATATGATGAGTGTCGTGCGTGCACTTCATATCCAAAAATTAAAAATTGTCTAAAATATGCATGCCTAAAATTAGAACCTGCTGGTAAATTGATCATACACCAGGTTAAAATACTAAGCCAAAAGTAGCACATTTTTTAAAATCAAAGATAATTCTCGAAAATATTAGCAATAGAATACATTTTCGGATACTGTCCTTATTTCCATACTTATTTCGTCGCCCGCGTTTATAACGTTAACGTCACAATTTTATTTAAACTACACGTACTAGTATAGGGAGAGTTTTCTAAATATCGTCGGCATTGGCCTTTCCAGTTAAATATTTTTCAAACATATATTTTTTTATATCTTCTAGTCCCCTGATCCAGTAGTTCCTTGTCACATGTCGGGTTTCAGAGCTGTGTTTTAAGCTGATATGTTTCTTGGTCAATAATTTTAAAGTAAGTTAAAGTTTTTTTAGCAATGCCGCTATAAGTACATGTACTTGATGACCAGGCATGCTTCATGATGCATCTTCGGATGCACAGTGCCAGATTTGTTTTGGATGCTGGGTCTGACTTACATTGATGAATGCTCAGAGTAAAAAGTTGACCAAACATGCACCGATGATACATTTAGGGTTGCACATTACCAGAAATGGTCCAGAAGCCGGATCTCACTTATATTTTATGACTGATTGAACTAAAGAAGTGAAAACAAGTCCATTCCTTTACGTTCTGTATCAAACATATATCAAAAAAATTATTATATTAGCGTTTTTTCGAATAGAAACCCTTGCTCTAATCTGCTAGAGAAGGTTCGTTATGTTTTTTTCCGTGTGGTTGATATTTATGAAGGGAACGTAAATTTATTTTTTAAAGACTAGATTTTGATTTATATGTTTCTGCAGGATTTGGGATTTTACACATATCTCTGCCATTTATAAAAGATTTTGAATTGCGATCTAGACTAGCATTTAATCAATTAGGTCTAATAAATGTAACTAGAATTGGTGAAGCAAGAGCAGTGGGAAGCAAGAAGAACATGGTCCTTGTCTAGTTTCAGTTGTTGAGAACAATAACCTGCAAGGGTATTTACTTTGACTTATCATCCAAAGGTGTCCTTTTTTACTCAGACGCAACCGATAAGTCTAAAAAACTAGAGTCAACGCAGATTACTACTATCTTGAAATTTGAAAAATGGGAACCAAAAGGCTTGACCCTGACCTCTTCCGATCATTTGCTCGTTTGTCTTTATCGAAAGAATGAGTCCAAGATCTCCATATACAGTAGCAGTGGTCAGATTGTACAAGAAATTCAATACAATAGCAATAAAACACCACTGTATGAACATCCTATGTTTATCTGCTGCAACAAGAATGGCGATATTGGCACAGTAGACTATGCAAAAAGAAATGTCATTGTCGTTGATCAGTTTGGTATAATTAAATTTTCCTATATAGGTCGCCGTGTTCTTGAGAAAGGCAAATTTTTTCACCCATATGGTTTAGCTACTGATCACCTCTGCAACATTTTAATAACAGATCTTGACAACAACAAGATTCATATTCTTGATAAATATGGGAGGTTTGTTCGATTTTTAGATCGATGGGCCCAATATCTATTGATATTGACAGCGAAGGAAAGTTGTGGTGTGGCGAGTGCAAAACTGCAAACGTAAAAGTCATGCAATACCTGAAATAGCGAAACTAGAAAACATCATACAATATGTAAGATATATATACTACATAAAATCAATTTTATGAAGTGGTTGTCATAGAGTACATAAAACTCATATCCTTTAAACTGAGTTAAACCTATAGAACGTTTGGAATAATACAGTTGTTTTTGCTAAAAATATGTATTTCTTTCGACCCAGAGATACTGAGCTGCATGGTGGTCCTGGTCGACAGATACAATGAAAAGTTTTGATAGTCTGTTGGGTTAACTCAAAATGAGAAAAGCGAAAATATCCCTGAATCAACTTTGGATTTCATTATCTTGGACTATGCTGAATATTTTTATTTGTGCTAACTTTAGACTAGTTGATTAAATATTTCACTGCTTTAATTAGTGTTGTATAAATGTGCGCTTATTCATGATTAGTGTAATATTGCGTCACATTTTTGTATGATTGTAAACAAAATATATCAGTGATCAAATAAAATTATTACCATTGTCTGATATATATAATGCAGGTTTTGTTACAGCCAAAGTATAAATGCAATGCATTTTGCTTTATAATTGAATGTGAAATTGTGTTTACCCGATTGTATCGTATTGAGCAAATTGATCACACTGAAGTAAGTTAAAAAAAACTTTTCTGGTCCATTATAGGTCAGTGAAATGTGTAAGAAATCCACAACGACAGGCTCTTGTTTCGAAAATCCTAAAGTCATCTATTGTAACAAAAGGGGATAATTAACAATAAATAATAATTTTTTTGAAAGATATAATCTCATAACTCAATGATGTGTGCAGTTAAACAAATTGAGTAACATGTCAAAGATCATTCCATTGTCATATACTTCAGATATTCAAAACAATGAAAATGGAAACCAAAGGGTACAATTTCATATTTTTGACTCGTATATTGAAGGATGACTACATGCGAATGAACATCTAATCTACAACTTTACTTAATATCAATAAATAAAAGTACTCGTATGTATTTATGAAGTACGATTCTGTTTTCTAAGGCGGATGTCATCACAATTTCTTCAATCTCTGTACAATAATCAGTAAGGACTTTTTTTACTGACGACATGTTGAAAATTATAATTCATCACGTGATATCTTTTCTCAAGTTATATTGTGAATATTTAAATGTTACGTAAATTATAGGTAACATGTTTTGAGCTACCTAGGACACTGACCTCGAAAACGTTATATTAACAAGCATCGATTTAAAATTCTTTACCTACGTGGACGGGCACAAATTGTTTATTATGTTTGAAACCTTTTTAGCTCACCTGATGAGCCGAAGGCTCAAGTGAGCTTTTCTGATCAAAATTTGTCCGTCGTCTGTCGTTGTCGTTGGCGTTGTCGTAAACTTTTCACATTTTCATCTTCTTCTCAAGAACCACTGGGTCAATTTCAACCAAACTTGCCACAAAGTATCCTTAGGTGAAGGGGATTCAACTTTGTTCAAATGAAGAGCCACACCCTTTTCCAAGGGGAGATAATTATGAATTAGAGAAAAATTAATGGCGTTTTTAAAAAATCTACTTCTCAAGAAACACTGGGCCAGGAAAGATGAAACTCATGTGGAATCATCCTCAGGTAGTGTAGATTCAAGTTTGTTCAAATCATGACCCCCGGGGGTAGGATGGGGCCAAATGGCCGATAAAAGTTTTACATAGGAATACATAGGGTATACTTTTAAAATATTCTTTTCAAGTACTTCAAAACCATGCTTATAGTGATATTTATAGGAAATCATTCTCAGGTAGTGTATATTGCTCTTTCCTAGCCAATTGCTCAGGTGAGCGATGTGGCCCCTGGGCCTCTTGTTTAAAAATGTACTTGTGCCATACAGAATAAAATGGGAGATGGAAAATAGTTTCATCTAGTCTAATTTTTAACCCGATGTTAGCTCCACCTCTCATGCATACATGCTGTTCAGTCAAAGGTAGATAACTAAAGAGTAAATTCCCTGTATTTGGAACATTAAGACAAATAACATAAAATTAATTTATTCGAACTAAAATTATAAAAAAATAAAAGGTTTTGTGATCTTTTTCTCATAGTTAATCAAACAGTTCAAGAACGATCCTCACAATTAACACATATTTATTTTGTTAAGTAGAGGGATGTAAAAGGGGGTGATATCCCCTTTTTGGGATTAGTACCAAATATATTTGAACAATGTGTTTTTTTGGTATTTGTGACTGGGCTGTTTTCTTCATTTTTGT